TGCCGCCCTAAATTTAACCCATATAAAATGATGCATATCACAAAAGCTACCAGCTCTGTTATGATCGTTTACCCGCTTCGAGATCGCATCTTTGGTATACGACTACTGCTGGTAGTGATGGAAACTGTTTTCATGGGCAGTTTCTAAAACGATACCACTACACGTAAACATCGCAAGAGAGAAGAACGTCAATGAGAACTCACCGAGGTCGAGTCAGGAACAACTTCTACACCAAGCGGTCTTGGCAGGGAACTGATCTTTGACGATGACGTCGACTGCTTCGGAATGGGATCTTTTGATGCCGTCGGGTTTTGGGTAGTCGTAGTGAACAGTTTGAAACTGGTCAACTGAGGAATGCCTGTTTCGGCAACTGGTGTCGGATGAGACTTTAGAGAGGAGGCAGAGTCAAGAGATGTTGTCAACGGCGCCGCTACAGGTGCTGAAGTTCGAACGTACGCGAGACCCAGACTTGGATTTGTCGGAATTTTCGACGAACTATGAATAGATTTCAGCTTTCGCTTTTCCAGCGATTGTTGGGAAGCAGAAAACCTTGGAACGGGCATATGGGACGAAGAAGGAAATTTTGGAATATGAGAGGACAGTTCTTTGTCATGTTCCTGCTTCGGAAGGGGATCACTGGCGGTCGGAGCCATTGACGATGTCTCTTCGTCATAGGCATCGAACTTCAGCAAAGGTGCCGTGTCAAAATCGACGGAAGTTCTCTGTAAACAGGGCTAATAAACAAATCTCGTTCACCTCTGCCGAAGACTCGTTCATCACAGCATTATACATAACCAAAAATACGCGGTGTTATTCAATAATCTCATGATCGCTTGCTATATTCCTACTAACAGTAATTAAAATTAAAAACCAACATGAAACAAGCCAAACAACAGAACTAATGAAAAAAATACATTTGCAACAAGCTGAACACAACGCTTATCAGAAAAGCTCACACTCCATATTTAATCAGTCAGTTTCGATAACCGCTTATCCTTTTAGGATCGGGGAAGCAGGTACGGCAGACTGTCTATAACGTTCGTGTAATCGTTTGACCTAATCATATCCAAGAAATACGACGAACACTCGCATTATGTCATGCACTTATTTACCAAAAGGCAAACTATTGTTTTTCAAAGCAAACTCTTTCTACTATTGTATACATTAAAGCTACTTTGTGATACCGTCATCTAGGCATAAAAAACTTCCTTTATGGGACGTCAATATAAACGTCAAGAATCAAGCACAACGTAAGAAATGAATCTGGAGCAGTCTGACGGCTTGGGTATTGCCGGCTTCTGAGAGAGTATTCATGAGTGATATTCAGGCGGGCGTGTTTATGACTGACAGGTATCATTCAAAATGTAGTCTTAAAAATTTTGCCAGATTTTTGCCCAGAGATATCGGATGTGTAATGAATACTGCTACTTCATTCTGAAAAGCCAAAGCTCGGGCGCTACGTCATACGAACCTGTTTGCTACGTTTTCTGTTGTTGTTTCTTTGTTTAGTTTTTGTCCGCAGCCGTCAACCATGTCACTTTTACGCAAAACATACTAGAGGTGTGGTAACGAAATGAGTAGGCAATGCAAAGTATACCATCAGCTATGTGACGCCGTTAACCATGGATCAAAAAATCACACAATTGGATTTTTCTTGTTGCAGTTATAGCTTACAGTAATTAAAGCACTGGATCGTTGCTTACTGCAGAAAGAGAGACAGTCGTTTCTTGTTCTGCCATGGCATTCGATTGGTTGCTTTGTTTCTGGTCGGCGGCGGTAGCAGAGACGCGGATTTTCGTGACGAAAAGCTCTGAAGATGATGGTGATGATTCATTGTCATCTGAAACAGAAGGCGGTAGTGAATGTGAGCCATCATTCGAGAATGACGTTACTGTGATGAGGAGAGAATACAGAATTTAGGAGCGTTTGGGGCGACCGCTTTTGCACGGCCAACAACGGTGACGCTGTTTCACCGCTAACCACGTTGTCCAGCGATACTCCTGAAACAGACGATCAGTCAGCAGATGCGTAAAGAACTCGGTTCGTACTTCTGCAGTCTGCATTTTCGAAAGGACTCAATTGACCCGAAGATCTAACCGCATCGGACAGCAGCTGTGTGTTGTCAGCGCAAGGAACATAGTCGGGCGAGACATGTTCTTCAGCTACTGATCTCTAGAAAATGGAGGAATTAGCGCTGTGACTCCTTAATCAAAACTATCGGTAGAAAGTTTGAATGAACGATTTACGGTACAAATAAAAATGCTTCTC